AAAATGAAAAAATGTACACTTTTATATTTTTTAGTCTTTTTGGTATTTAAGCCTCATTTGCGAGTAATTTTTTTAGTTAAAAAGTTAAAAAGTCATTAAAAAAAATTAAAAAGTCAACAATCTATACCAAAACGTTAAAGATTTCATTTTCTCTCTATTTTTTGCACATCTTTTCGTAAAAAATTAAAAAATCATCCCAAAACATATTAGTTTTTTTACATCATATTTTAGCCAAAAGTTAAAAAGTTACTAAAAAAAACATGTTCCCAAATGAGGCCTTAATGTATTAATAATGGGCTTCAAAAATTATTTGCACAATTTTTAAATATACATTTACAATTTCAAATATGAAGCAAAATTTATACGGAACTGCTACGTAGCTCGAATTGTCGAGCTCGAAATTGGCTCGAATCCAATTTCAGAAGCAGAGAAGGAGAAGAGAAGAAAATGAGGAGAAGAAGGAGGACTGGAAGGGGTATAATCACAGGAGAGAAGAGAAGGAAGGAGGAGGAAGGAGGAAGGGGAGGGGCTTAGCTAACGGCAGGGTGCTGCGACGAAGGGGAGGGGCTCGGCGGACCGGAGTGACGGCGGTGGTGCTGCGACGAAACGGAGGGTTCGGCCGACGGCAGAAGTAGAGGGCCCTCTCTTCTCTTCATTCCTCTTCCCCTCCTCTTTCTCTTCTCCTCTCTTCTTCCTCTCTCTCTCTCTTTCTCCTTTGTTTCAGACCACCCAAAACCCCAAAACGACATTCGAGCCAATTTCGAGCCAAGATTTCGAGCTACGGCTCATTTTCCAAATTTATATTAACTTCAACAATTTATGGAGACAAATCGAAAATACAAATTTATGAGTGAAAATTATCTGATAAAGTCACACATTTAATGGTTATGATATGTAGCCATAAATGGATACATATCAAATTATGTTTTCATATATATATAGCATGTACATATATATAATATATATATTATAATATATAACTAACATGGGAGTATTTTTTGATGTGACAAATTTTTTTTTAAATTATCTCTCCTTAAATTAGAGAAAAACTTGAATTTGCAATAATATATTTTAAAAACCAAACAAAAATCTTTTTTCAAAATAAAGTTTTCAAATCACTTTTCAAAAAAATAATTCAAAAAAATAAAACCAAACATGATTATTACTTTTAGAAAAAAAAAAATCTCTCTGTCACAGTCTCTCTCTAAATACGCTCACCAAATCAGCCATAGACAACTTCAACATTGTTCTTCTATTTTTATATCTACATTTTAAGATTAATAAATATTTTATTATGATTTGATATAATATTTATTATGATTGTGAGTATTGTGCAATTTTAAATTTATTATTTTGTTCATATTGATGAAATTTTTACAATTTTTTAATATTTTAAACAAGTTTTTTACTTTTTAGACACATCTTAACATAAGTACACTAAAAAGTAAAAAAATTATAAAAAAAAATCTTTTTTTTTAAAAATTCACTAAATATCAAAAATACAAAAAAAAAATACTAGAATTCAGTACATTTTTTGTATTTTTATATATTTATTAATTTTTTAAAATATTTTTTCACAAATTTTTTACTTTTTAGATACATCTAAAAAAGTAAAAAAAAATGTTTAAAATTTAAAAAATATTCACTAAAAACAAAAAAACACAAAAACTAAAAAAAGTTAATTTTCGAAAAATTTAATCCAAAAAACTCAAACCAAACACATTTTCCAACTTCAACCTAACCAAACTGACCCGTATTACAACCATATTCATGATTAAGTAATGTAATACAATAAACCAGTTTATTCAGAGAGGCTGGGTAAGGAGCCAGTAGGATGGGGAAGAAATTGATGGGAGCTAAAAGTGAGGAGAGAGGAAGGGAAAGAAAAAAAAAATAATAAGGTATTTTGCTACTTTCATAAAAATCACTATTTTGTAATTCAACAATGCTAGAAGGCCATAATTTTTGTGATCATAATGGCTCAAAACTGCTAAAACGACATCGTTTTGGGTGCAAAACATGCCAAAACAACGTCGTTTTGACAGTTTTGAGCCATTGTGGCCCTCAAACATTTTCCTTTGTAATTATTTTGAAACTTTTTGTACATGTGGTACAAAAAAATTATTCTCAATTCTTTTGTAATTATTTTTTGATCAATATTTTTATTTGGAATTCTCCTTAAAGAAAATATAATAATATAGCAAGAAAGAATAGCCAACCTCAAAAGTCTTCTCATAATAATTATTAAGGAAAATATCATAGATTCCATATAATCTACTAAATTTTTTTATTAAATTTCTTACATGGATATAAAATTTATACAAATTTACATATATGTAAATCTCACATCTATATAAGAGATTTAGTAGATTATGTGAAATTCTTATCATAAATTAATTATAAATTTGAACATGTGAGGGGACCAAGGTCTGCAATGATGATTCAATTTCCATATCTACTTTTATAGGGGCAGACATGGTGTCTCAGCATGGCCCTGTTTGGTAAGGTTTATTTTCAATTTATTTTAATTTTTAACTTAATTTAAGATATTTTGATGTGTTTAGTTCAGCTTAACAATACAACTTATAACTTTTTATAAGTCAAAAATCAATTTATTCTTTGAGTGGGGAAGAGAAACTTAATTTATAAGTCAAAAATTAATTTATATTCACAACTATAAATTATAAGCTGTTAGAATATAAAGTATAATCACTTTCTCATAACTCTATCAAACGGGACACATATGCTTACGAAGTGGTCTCATTAAGTCACTTATTTCCACGCATGATATCAACATGTATAAATTTATTTATTTATTTTTTTAAATTGGCACATTTTTTTTAATGATTTTACCCCTAACATCAGAGGTGTTGCTGATCAGTCAAACAATTATTTATCTTTTACTTTACAACTTTAAAATATTCTCTCCCTCTCATTCTATTAATTCACTATTTCATTTTGAAATATTCCAAAATGATAGTCTTATTCAAAAAATCAAAATAAAAAAAATATTTAAATTTTCAAAACTACCCCTTTTGAATAATTGTAAATATATTAAAATTTTAAAAAGATAAGAACACTAGTGAAAGAATATTTTAAAATTTAAATTTAAGTGTAATAATCACATATCTCTTTAAAAAATTAGAAACTAAAAAAAAGACCAACAAATTAGGACACAGAAAGTATTATCATTCTCATTACATCTCAAAATAAATAAATTAATTATACGAACATCCCATTTTTGACAAATATATCAACTTCTCATTTAACTTGATAAAAATTCTATTCTATTCAATTTGTTTAACAAACCAAACATGAGAATAAAATAATCATTCCATTCTATATCATTTAACAATGTCAACTAAACAATAGAATGAAAATGAACATTCCATTACATTCTACAATGTATTCCATTCACCATTATTTCATTTCATTCCACCGTATCCAATCGTGCTCAGAGATAGGAATGTTTAGTTGAGAGAAATAAGAAACAAGTAAAAGGTATAAATGTATTCATATTGAATATAAAAATTATATAATACAAAATTTGAGAAACTTCTAGAAAATTAAAATGCGGGTAAAACCATAAAATTATTTCAACATTTTAAAAAGGAGTCTACCATTTTCTAAACTTTCAAAGTTATTATTGTTTCTCCCTAAAAACTAAATCAACCTAATGTAAAAATATGGGCAAAACAATAAAATAACATAAAAACCATCCGCTCTACCAACCAACTAAAAATGATTCCCTTATTCACTTTCCTTTCTTCCCTTCCCAATTAATTTCCTCCAAAGTTGTGGAAAAAAAAAATATATATATATATATATAATATAACATAATATACAAAATAAACAGCATTCTAAGGTTTTATTTATTATCATTATCGGCTAGTTTATGATCAGTAACTCAATAAAGCATAATCCAATCAACTCACTTTTATGTGAAAAGAAATTAACTATCAAGCAGCCCAAGCAGGAACCACAAATAAATTTTAGCAACAGAAAATTGAAAGTACACAAACAAGCAAATCAGCTAGCAGTTCCAACAGCACAAGACCAATATATTGTCCAATATTGAAAACTTGGATAAACAGGAGATGATAACATAATACTCGAACCCATCATACAGCAACTTGACCAAAGAGCTGCTTGCGGATCTGCAAAGAGTCATAAACATGGTCAAACCATGGATATAGGTTAGCAACCTAAAGCTTTTAGAGGGTTACCCAGTTTAATGCATAATTATGTGATGTAATGGTTCCCTCTGTACTCTTTTTGTGGTGGTGGGGAGGAACTTTAGAATGGGGTATAGATATATCAGAAATTTCCAAGTAGTATACTCGAGAATGATACCCTTTTTTCTATTTTGTGGGTTTGTTGGAGACTTCACACATCACTAGTTAATGGATTTCTGTGTTAACAAATATCTCAAAACAAAACCTGAGAAAACAAATGTCATTTACAAATGTTTTTATTTGCACAGAAAGAAGCAATTAACTCACTGAAATACATCTTTGGCTCAACCTCAAAGTCTAGTTTATCAATATCTAAGGGTAGACCAAATGAGGTGATCAACATACAATGCCAATTAGACCCATGCAGACAGAAGGAGCACAAAAACAGGTAATGAGCAGAAAGTGAGTTTCCATAACCTTTTGATAGTTTTAGATGGTTGGCAAATTTTATACATCCTCCCAACTAAGACACATGGCTTGCATTTGGGTTCCATCACTTGAGATGGAACCACCTAACACAGTGTCTTGTTGATATGTTTGTTGATACGATTGTTAGTGCTTTTAACATTATTTGGGGGGAGGCAGTTAAAAATTAACAAATAGCTGACAGCGACAACTGAGGATCTCTCTACATCGTGGACATGTGAGAGAATGATGCACAAGAATAACACAAATTGAAGGAGAAGAGGGGAAGCGGCTTTATAGAGGACAAAATTACAAGTAAAAGAAAAGACTACCTCTGGAAGCTTTTTGCGGAATACAACGTCCAACCTTGCATCCAGGCTGTTCTCAAACACAATTTTCCCATCTCGAGAAGCCAACACTACACCTCCAGAGCTGAAAAATAGGTTAAAAAAACAAAAAAGAAAACAGAACAGAGGACTTTCAATCAACATTGTCGCAATAACTTCACTGTCTGAGGAGCTAAAATCTGCTGGCAGAATGTAATTGGTGAATTACAATTATACAGATTCAGGCTGCCTATTTTAAGGGTTTATCTATAACTGAAACAACATAAAATTACCAGAAAGGACCATGGGCATTATGATGAGAAGGAGCAGCTGGAAGGTAAATGCTGTCAACTACTATCTCAGGTGCATGAACCTTTGCTTTATCTGCATACTCCTCCTTTGCAGAGTGCACAACATGCTCCACATGATTTAGGTCTTCTTTTCGACAACGCAACAAGACGGCAGGCTCTTTCAGCCTCAGCAAACTCTGCAATGCATACAGTTACCATTGCAGTACCAGCCAAATTTCCCATTATCATGATAATCAACTTTATATTTACAAAGCATGCCAAAAGCAATGTCAATAAGAAAAGTTCAAAGGCTCATGTTTTGACACCCCCAATAAAATTACATCAAGCCATGTTTCCCCATGTCTTTGGAAAGAAAAAACCGTCCCCAGATCCATTACCGAAATAGTGCCATTAGTACAAAAGAAATTGAAAACTATGACTATTGTAAGAGGTGATTAATGATTATATTATGAACTCAGGATCCCATAAATAAAACTTCAAGATCTTGTGAGAAGGTAGTTTTTTATTTGTTCACGTATAGCATGTATTTTCCTTTGTGATATTTTGATGGTTATATGGCTAATTGAGTTGAGTTGACCATATCATGATGCTTAGAAAGTTGACATGGTTCAGAAGTTCCTCTCCAAACCTCTCATTTTTCCTTTCTCTTTCTTCGCACCCCCCCCTCTTCCTTCCTTCTCTTAAAAATATCAGCTAAAGCAATGTAGAAGATCTATATGTTTGTAACCTCATAGAAAAAATATCAGCTAAAGCAATGTAGAAGATCTATATGTTTGTAACCTCATAGAAAAAATATCAGCTAAAGCAATGTAGAAGATCTATATGTTTGTAACCTCATAGAAAAAATATCAGCTAAAGCAATGTAGAAGATCTATATGTTTGTAACCTCATAGAAAAAATATCAGCTAAAGCAATGTAGAAGATCTATATGTTTGTAACCTCATAGAAAATTCATTAACTATTTTTTTCGTGAAATTTAGACTCACAGTAGAAACCACAGTCCCAATTTTACATGATATATGAGACTGTATCATAAGACAACTCACATTGTTTTAATGTCATAGAAAATTAACCATATTTCTTTAATCATATTCCATTAAAAAGACAAAAACACATGTAAGAAAGCATGGAATTGAGTTTTGTTACCTGAACAATGAGCTCTTTTAGAAGCTTTCTATACACATGGTGGTCATGGCTCACATTCAGGAGCTCCTTTGCTGCTGCATCTTTCATGGAGTTGACCACATCATCCTGAGCTTGAAGAACTTTGATACGAGATGCATTCAGCTGCATAGAGTACTCGCTACAAGAAACCAATATACACAATTTTAATTTATACTTCACTAACATCTGAATAAAACAATAGTGATGATGATAATAATCAGTAGTTTTCTCATCATGTTCCATCTTCCTACTGCATACTAAATACATGCCCAACATAGTTATTTTGATGATAATACTAATAGGGACTTGAAGTAGGCTCCAGGGTGGATGGTTGGCTGAATCATTTCCTGAATCAAGTAACAAATTAAACGTGATGGATGGTTGGCTGAAGTAAAAAATTTGCATAAAATTTCCTTCCAGTCTCCAGGGTGACCAAGGCTGGCTCTGGGAACATTTTGGATAAATAGGATAAACTTAGACCTCATTCCGGAAGATTGAATTTTAGCCAAAAAACCACGAAAAGGCCCCCAAAAAAAACATATAAAAAAGACCAAGATTCCTTCCATTTACACGTTTTTTCATAAAAACCCAAAAAACCATTCCCAAACACTTCAATTTTTTTTCGCCACATATTTTATACAAAATGCCAAAAAGCCACTTCCCAAACTAACCCTTGGAGCATCTCCAACATTTAACCCTTTTTTTTCATCAAATTTGAGTAAAAGCTTCATCGTGCATTCCAACGAAGCAATTTAGAATTTCATCAAACTACCAGTCGACTGAGAGGACAACTAAAGGGATGTCCGGCCGATCACCAGCCAATATAATTTTTTCATAAACTTTTGCAAGGAGATGGTCGTCCATGGGGGACAACAGGCCGGTTGTCTGGGGGTGTTTATGACCTGCAACTCCAACACCTATGAACAATAAATTGATGAAAGGCACAACTAGTTGTGCAAAATACCGCAGAATCCACTAAAACCGCACCGATCCGCATCAATCCGCCTCGCTCTAACCGCTAACCACAGTTTAAACTTTAAAATTTATAATCCGCCAACCGAACCACTCCACTCCGCTATAGTTAATACATATATATTTTTTAATTTCCAATAAAATACTAATGTAAAAATGAGTGTGAGAGAAATTTAAGATATAAAATTTATTACAAACTAGTGGTTATATATATGAAACATATTATGTAAAATTATTTTGTGTTATATATCTAAAAAATATTATACAAATTAGTATTATATATTATACAAATATATGATAATTAATTAGAATATTCAATCTACCAAAAACCGCACAAACCACAATTTGTCAATCCGCTAACCCACCATTCGGCTTGTAATTTTACTCTCAAACCGCCCGAACCACACTACACACAACCCTAGGCACAGCCATCCTCAATCTGATGAAAACTTTCATATCCTGAATTTGAAATGGTCTTTTCAGCAAAAGGCTCCTCTTTTCATCAAATTTAAATTTGATGAAAACAAAAGGTGCAGCGTTGAAAATGGTCTTAAGGAGCACAAACTCAAAAAAACTTATGTTATAGACTTATCCCATCGTCTCTCTCTAAGCTTGTTTCATATGCTCTAAAGACAAATTCATTGCCAATTGATTTTGAGTTGAACAACTCCAATAGTTGTAACATGGTATTAGAGCTTGGACTTGGGTGGCCACTGGCCTCACGATCCAAGTCCCCTTCTCAGATCTGCTTCGCTCGTCTCTCATCTCTCTATCACTTCCACATACAACCGGACCACATATGCGGTGACAATAGAGAATTGTCCCATATTGTCTCCCCACCCAAGTTTGGTTCATACACACTAGAGACCCCTCCACTCGTCACCAATTGGTTTTGGGTTAATGTAAGAGAGAATTCAGATCTAAAGGGTATACTTCTAGAACCCCTACTCTCATTATTACTAATTGGTTCAGGTTACCGTGTTTCCAATAATTCAAACAAGTTCGAAGAGATGTAACAGGGAATTCAGATCTAAAGAACACTTATTGACAGAGCAAACAAGTATTTTCCTTCACTAGGTAATTAAAGAAACTACTAATTCATCAAATCAATTAACACACACAATCCCTAATTAGCATAGTCCACTACATAAGAACAGAAAAAAGCTCAATAGAGAGATTACATTTTTCTCCGAACTTCGACTTGCTTCTCTTTACGCTCGTACTCTTGTCTGATCTTCTTTTTCTCTGCTTCTACCAATTGCAACTTCTCGATGTTAAATTCCTGTAACAACACAGCACTTTTCCGTGTCAAATCTACACATATCTGAGTCAATTACAGACATATACATACATGTTGAATGATATTTGCAACAAAAATGAGATTTTCAGGGAAAATTGAAGAGAAAATTTGACGTACTTCTTCTGCGGAGACGGAGATCTCGTTGGCTTTCTCTTCGGCTTCTTGGCGGATGAATCTGACCATCTGCTGGATCTGCTTGGAGACATCTGCGTCGTCCATTTTTGGAACTGAGTTTAGAGGTCGGATCTGATCGGAGACAAGGCGGCGGTGCGGTGGCGGAGGCGGTTCGACGAGTGGCTCTGAGTCTTCGATCGTGAATCGTAATTGACAAGAGGACGAGATAAATTGCAGCTTTTAAATGTTTGGAATTGAATCACGAGTCCTTCTTCTTTTGCATAATTATTTTTTTTGGAAATTTATGAATCTACCATGATGTTTCTAAAATAGCAACTAGCAAGCAACAATAGCTCTAAGATTTCATCCACGTTGCCCTTTGAAACTTGGGATTAGTAAGGAAACAAAAAAAAAAAAAAAAAACAATAAGTTGGTCGAAAAATCATGACTCAAGTGACTCGAAACATTCAAAATAACGTCGTGTTTTTATGTAAAGCGATATCATTTTGTCTGTAAGACGATATCATTTTGACACATTCAAACCATTCAAGTCACAAAAAATGGGTCACCAAACATTTTCCAACACAAAAATACCAAAAACAAAGACCATTTTGGTTTTATTTTTTGAAATTTTTTTTTAAAACAGAAATTTGTTGGATAAAAATAAACATTACAAATATATTTTTAATTTTTTAAAATTATTTCTATCTTTAAAAAAGATAAAATTATATAAAAATGAGAAGTGTTTTTGATTTTTTGAATTTTTTTAATAAAACTAATTTTTTATTTTTTTATTTTTTTTAAATCTGAAAGTGGGGTTCGCCCAGCCCGTGTTATTTGTGTGTCAGGCTTGGAGTTAATGGGTTAGGCTTAACATTGGGACAAATAGCAATGGATCTGGCCCAACTCATGGCCACCCCTACTTTATGTTACAATTTTTCAAGGATAGTTACGGGCTCATTAATAAAAAATTTAAATTTTGTTCTAATTTTTAATAATAAATTTATCATTATATTTATATTTTTAAAAAATATAATTCAACTAGTTATACTTCTTCTATCATATTTCAATATAAACTAACACAAATAAACCAAAAATAAATTAAAACTCATAAATTAAAGGCAAAATGTTTTAATCACTTATTCTTTTTATAAATTTTTCAATATTATTACTAGTACCAAATAATTATTTTACAACCACAAAATATATTTTTAAAAAATCTTACAATTTTCTTATTATCAAAATGATAGGCAAATACATCAAAATTTTCACTCAAAAACTCATGAGCAATAGCCTGATCCAACTAGAACTCACTGATAATTATCTCATTTTTTGAGGGTACAAAAATCATTACTTTTTATGAATTGGGAGCAGCTTGCCTCCAGTCCTTAATTGGACTGGATAGTACTTGTGTGGGTGATTTTCCGACCACGCTGCCCGCCTAGTAATCAGCTGGAGAGCACCGGCAGAATAGATGGCTTTAGTAACCTGTAACAGAAAGAAAAGGCTCCGGCGGTGGCTCTTCCACCCGGGGACACTCCGACGATCAAGTCAGTATATCTCTCAAAGATAATCAAGTGCTAAACTCACAAGCTTGAGTATAAAACTGCGTACCTTAGACCCACGGGGGTGCCTCTCTTTTATAGTTTACTAAATCCAAGTCCCACTAGAAGTCTGACTTCTATGGACTCCAATTTAGTACTCACTTTGGATTCCTTAAGAGATAAAGATAAACTCCCTTAGAGCTTTATCCTTATCTTAGTAAAGTCTTCTTTTTTCTCCAGGACTCTTAACCCTTATTCGCTTATCTCAGATTCCGATATCTTCGGAGGCAACCTCGGCATCGCCAAGATAACATCGGCACAGCTACCACGACACGTGGCACCTCGGCTGACACGTCGGTGTCACCATGCCACGTGTTGGTACTCAGAAAATATATCCCCACAGTACTATTTGGCTCTTGAAAATCCACCATGGATCTCGTTTTGATAATTCGAACCGTTCAATGTGTAGAACTCGTCGAGTACTATATGCCTATAAAAAATCACATTGATCAGATATCCATAACTATCTTATCTTATCAGTTTTTTGTCAACCGTTAATTTGTTCACCGTCCATTTTGTTTTATACAAAACTGATTTAATCACATAGCTATCGACATCCGATCAACGTAATTTTTTATAACATACAGTACTCAACAAGTTCTACATATTGAACGGTTCAGATTATCAAAACAGAACCCGTGATATGCCTCCATAGGCCGAACAGTACCGTCCTGTCCGATTAAGGACCAGAAGCAAGCTACTTCCTTATGAATTATACTTGAAAATAATTCTCATATATTATATCTAAATAAATATAGCCAATCATCAATAATAAATAAAATCAAATACAAAAAATATAGCAATGCTACATATCGCTAATTTGGTAGCTCTAACCCACCATTAATGAGGTGGAAAAAGAAAAAAAACAAAAACAAAAACAAAAACAAGACACAACACACACTGTGACAATAGGTGGGATTCACTGTCACATCACTAGTGATAGCACTAATTAGTACTCTCACTCATTTTCTAAAAAATATATGATATTTTCAAAGGTGTTTGCCTCTACACCTACTTATGTTTCGCTTGGTTTAATTATTATTATTATTATTATTATTATTATTATTATTATTTTTTATGTTTCAATAAATTATGTGGGTGACATAATTATCAAAACATCTCTAATAATAATAAGGTGAAACGCATATTAATATTCACGTTGATAATATAAATGTTTCATAATGTGAATATTCATACTGTCAATTTTATTTCATGTGAATTTCACATCACTGAGTTGCTAAAGGTTTAAAAAAATATTTGTAAGAGTAAACTTGTTCACCAATAGGGGGTTGGTTTAGTGGATAAGACTTTCGAATTCCTCGTTCAAGGCTTGGGTTCGAATCTCTATAGCCCCTTATTGGGGTTAAACATACTCTTTAGCGCCTGGAGCACGCATAGCAATACTCCCTGGCGAATATGTTAAAGTAGCTTATCTATATATCCATTTAAAGATCCGTAAGAGTACAATTGTTCAAAATAATAAGACTTATTAAAATACAATAATATCTTATAAATTAATTAAATTCAAGTATTTAAAAGATTATTTTTTAGGATTTTTTATTGATAAATCTCATCTAGAGGTGTTTTAACCCAATAAGTTCACCAAGAAAAATTATAACCTAATTAGTCCCATGTATTTATACTTTTATTCCATGAGGTCCTTTTTTCCTAATTTATATTATTTGTTGAACTATTATACCATTATGTCTATTTGTTGATATATATTATATACAAAATAATATACATGTTTCCCTCTGTTTTTGTTGTGGTAGAATTTCGTTCCTATGAGAGAGAAGACGACGGCACATAGTTCGCGATAGTATTTCATTGCGATACGGTTTCATTCCTGTAGAAGAGAAGATGACGATTCAGAGTTTATGCTCTTTTTTTTTTTTTTTTTTTTTGGCCATAGTTATGATTTCAGCCAGAAATCAAAGGAAGAGAAAAGGATTTGAATCAAAGAAATAGGGGTAATGGCTTACAAATTTGTTCAGTAGATTGACTAAAACCCACATTCAACTGGATTGAATCAAAGGGAAAGATGAGATGGATTTGAATATTTGTTCTTCAAAGGTGTTAATGGTGGATACTTGTTTGGTTTGATTTGGATTATTGTAATGATGGAATTGTAAGAGGTGTTAATAATAGTGATAATGATGAAGATGGAGATGAAAATTATGAAGATACTGAGGAGGATTTGTGTGATGGTTTTTTTTATTTTTTGAGAGATTGAGATTTTTGAATTTGGAGAAGACGAATCCTGTGCTTTGTTTGATTACATTGTCTTAAGGTTAGTATGTAATGGATGCATGTCATTTGTGATTGGATTTATATGAAGTGTTGTATGCTCTGTTTTTTGCTTCCAATTTCATTTTCTAGAATTGATAGACATGCAAGTTTTTTTTTTGGTTGTATGGGGTTATGGATTTTGGCTGGTTATGGGGTTGAGTTATGGCTCTATTTTTTTGATTGTGGTGAACATTCACATCGTATTGAGAATGTGAATGTATATGAATGATTGTATGATTTATTTTTTGCTTTCAACATCATTATCTAAATTAAATTTTGGTTGGTTATATGAGGATATGGGTTTTTCCTGGTCATGTATATTGTGAGGCATGCATGTGTGTGATGTGAATATTTACATTCTTGTTACCATTGACAGTATCAAAGTAATTAACATGAATATTTATATCACTGTAACCATTCACATTACCAACACATTACCAAATCATTTATGTGAATATTCAGATTTGTATTATAAATTGTCATTGTGAGTGTTTTTTGCTAACAAAATGGGATGTTGTTGTGTATATTATGATGCATGCATGGGCGCGGTGTGAATATTGACATGTCTGTTACTATTTACAACATGAAAACATATGATGTGAATATTCACATCATCTGCAATATGCTATTTGATGTGAATATTCACATTTTTGTTACCACTGACAACATCAAAGTAGTTAACATGAATATTTATATCATTGTAACGATTCACATTATCAAATCATTTGATGTGAATATTTAGATTTGTATTACGAATTGTCATTGTGAGCGTTTTTGATAGCAAAATGGGATGTTGTTATGTATATTATGATGTATGCATGGGCGCGATGTGAATGTTGACATACCTGTTACCATTTACAACATAAAAGCATATGATGTGAATATTCATATCATCTGTAACTATTAACATCATCAAATTATTTGCTGTGAATATTTACTTATGTATTAAGAAATATGATATTCACACCAGTTACATTGTGTTACAATAATATTTTAAGTAATATTCACATCCATGTGAATGATCAACACGAAATAGGTCTCAAAATACATATACATATATTGAATGAAAAATTTGAGTACAAGCATTGATACAGAATTGATTTACACTTAAGCTAGTCTGCTCCAATATGTCAAAACTATTGATACTAAATTATCTTAAATGTGGATAACAATTGCAAGTGGACACCCCCCACTTAAAGGTTTTCATATTGCACTATCTTTGTGTGATTCAAAAAAATGTGTACAATGAGTCTCTTATTTGACACCATTCAAAGCAATTAAGGCTGTCAACAAGTTCGTCACGGTATACATGCGCCCTGATGATGTAACACACTGTGAGCCCGCAATCCAC